AGTCCATGAACCGTGATTTTTAGGACTCCCAGCCCCATTTTTGGCCACTCTCCCACCATTCTTGCAGAAGTGGGAGGTGGCCACATAGGACTAAGGGTGGCTTTTCATTTTTCTTTCTTCTGAAGGTTGCTATGGCCAAAGAATTCATCACCTGGTAGCCAACTGGTTATGAACCTCTCTACTTTCAGTTGTGTTGTTGCTCAGATAGCTGATGTGGTCTGTCACTAAAACCATACTGGAAGCCTTTCTAGCTGGGTAGAATCTGCCAGAACTTGTACTCCTCTAACATAGCCATTGAGAACCAAGAGTCACCTTCACCCTATGACAAAGCATAGGGCTAGGACTTTGTAGAGGACTTTCCAATAGGTGGGTTTTTTTCTTAACACCAACATTACCCTGATGATTCATTGACTGTGAATCATGGAACACCACAAATCACTAAAGAATCAAAATGACACATGACAGTGGAGAGATTTAGCCTAAAACATGTTAGCAATGGTGACTTGTACGCAAGAAGGAGTATAAACAATTTCATCCAGTAGATGTACGATTCAATTCACCAAACATTCATTAAGCACATGTTCTGTGCAAAGATCTGCATGTGGTTAGAACAAGACATGACCTACTCATTCATGTGCAGTCCAGGCTCTAGACAAAGAAAGGGTCTTTAACCTGGGGTTGGTGAGCTAACTTGTTTGTTTTTAGTAATTTAATAATTATTTCAATATAATTGATTCCCAGTGTAATCCTGTGCATTTTATTTTATTCATTTAAAAGCATTCTGAGAAGGGGACACAAAAAAGTTAACCCCTGCTCACTTTTCCAGTTTCCACTTGCACTGGTAGGTTGGATCGCCAGAGGGAGGCTAGAGGGATGGGGCGTGTCTTTCTAATGCTGTTGCCTGCAAACTTCCATCTGTAAACTGATGTTGATGGTCAGTTGCTATCAATTAGGCAGCTACCCATAGCTTTTAGAAAGGAATATTTACTAAGGCAGAATATATAAGCATGGTTGATATAACAACATCCCTCCCTCCTTAACTAGGGACACCCCCCACAACAAGCACATTCAGAGTTCAGAAGAAAGTGGGCTCATGGGAAAAGAGGCACCTCGTACTTCCTGGTTTCTGGAAGTCTTGTTCTCCTTCCATAGGGTCCAGAGTCCAAAAGATGCCTTTCCTCAATATGTCTAATTTGTCCTTAGCTGCTGATACAGACCGCGCCATCAGCCACCCACATTCCAGGGATGCTGCTGCTATTGGTCGCAGATGGGAATGCCAGCATCGTTTAAACTTGTGAAGTTCACAGGATTAGAAGTGGGAATGGGATGAGAAGGAAACAGGGGCTCGCTCTCTGTCTCTGTCTCTGTCTCTGTCTCTCTCTCTCGCTCTCTCTCTCTCTCTCTCTCTCTCTCTCTCTCTCTCTCTTTTCTCTCTTCTTCCTCCTGACCCCAAAGTGATGCCCTCTCAAGGGCTCGGTCCAAATTGTTTTCGCCATGGGATGGCCTGCAGTTGGAATTCCTGGATTCCATGTTGGATTGCTATTTTATCATCCTGAACCCACTGTCTGAATCGTTTCAAACAGTCCCAATATGTGTCCTATGTAGAATCATTTTATTTCATCCAGTGGCTTTTATTCTTTCTAAATTCGTTATGGACTTAGTTTAATGCCTTTAATTGGGTGATAAAAGTGTCAAGACGGGATAGTCTTGTTGGTAACTTTAGTTAGTTTGGGATGATTGATTCAATCGGGGAATCAAGAGTGAAGGCTGGGGCAGGAAGGTGGCGCAGTGGATAGAGCACCGGCCCTGAAGTCAGGAGGACCTGGGTTCAAATCCGACCTCAGACCAAATACTTGACACTTACTAGCTGTGTGACCCTGGGCAAGTCACTTAACCCCAATTGCCTTAAAAAAAAGAGTGAAGGCTAACTTCTGGATAATGTCAGGGCTGCCCTGGTACCGACTGAAGGGTAAGAGTTCTTGAGGAAGGCCTCAATTATGTTGGGTGCACCCTTTATGGAGGATTTATGGGAAGGCATGGACGTGAGTTGTAAAAGATGAGGAGGTTTGCAATTTGCACCACTGCAGAAAATATCTATGTTGATGAAATCACAAAGTTACTGGCGTATTGCAAAGTATTCTTTGGGAAAATGTGTCCTGAGTTCCAAACAACTGAATAAACATACTTGTGGAACACAGCTTGTTTACAGTTAGAGAAGCATGTTTTGCATGCTTGTGTCTCTCCCTTGTGCCAGTGACACCCCAGACACAGAGGGGACCAGGGCTCATTTGGGGGGATAACAATAACTGACACCTCCATAGATAGGGCTTTAAAGTTTGCAAAGCCCTTATATACATCATCCTGTTTGATCCTTACAAGAACCCTCTGAGGTAGGCACTACATGGATTATTACTTCCATTTTACAGATGAAGAAACTGAGGTTTAAAGAGGTTAATTAACTTACCTGTGGTCATAAATTAAATCTGAGATAGAATTTGAACCAAGGACTTCTGGATTCCAAGCTCAGCAGTCTTTCCACAACATTGTATTGTCATTCCAGGTCCTACTATTCTCTCTAAGCAACGTTGGTGTTAGTAGAATTGAGATGAGGCCTTCCTTTGCTGGCCTGGCTGGGGTTACAGTATCCCTAGCAGAACTCATGGCGAGCTCCAGAAAACTATATTAGGACTTTCTCCCTTCTTGCAGCTCCACCTTGAAGCAGGATCTTATTTTCCCCTTTGAGAAGTAATGCATCCTCTGACTTTGGTGGTCTTCCTTGGAGCCTTTAGCCCCAGCCCAGCAACAGCAAAGTTGTCACAAACTCCAGTAATGTCAGTTAAACCCTATGTGCTTTCCCACTTTAATTAGCAAAGGCATAGAATCTTGTCCCATAATCAGGGAGTCAATAAGCATTTATTAAGTGCCAGTGATGTGCTGAGCACTAGAACACCACAAAGAAAGGCAAAAGACATTTCCTGCCCTTGAGGAGCTTACAGTCTAAGGGGGAGCCAACATGCAGACGACTAGCTACAACCAGACTACATGCAGGATAAGTAGGAAATAATCAACAGAGGGAAGGCGCTAGAATCTGTGTAGGGGCATTAAAGCCTCAATTTTCCTCAGATTTGCTCTGGGATTACTCAGATCATCTGAAGTTTGTCAGCTCTCTCTACTAGATATTAGAACCACCTTCCATGGTTACTGTTTTAAGACACTTGTGCTCTGAGGTCTTTACTATTCTCCTAAATCAACTTATGAGACAATTAGCCTCGACATGTATTTATGAACTGCCTACCCAGGGACCCGTGGAACAAAATGTGAGGAATGCTAATATAGAAAGCTTAAAAGTGCCTCAGGTTCCCTATCTGTAAGATGAGGGGATTAGATGAGGAGATTGAACTTAATGGCTTCCAAGACCAATTCCAGCCCAAATCTGTGATCCGTGTAAGCCACTTTTGGGACCTTTTCAGAGGACCGGCCAGAGCTTCCATTTTATTGACAAAGCCTTTAAACCCAGAGCCACTTCCATGCCATAACGTGGCCTCATGGTAGAACTTTTTTAGATTATACATGTTTGTGTGTGTACAAAACAGATGTAACTGAATCTACACAGATTTAATTTGTGGAGGTAAGGAAGAGATACTTTAACAACTGTTGCGCAATGGTACTTATAGATTGGATCCTTTAGTATGGTGCTATATATAAGGAAGATGTGGGAAAATGATCAAAGGATTCAAGAAGGGCCTTAAAATGATGAAAGTTACAAGAAAAGAATTCAAATACCAAGGATGTATATAGTGTGGCCAGGTCATTGGAAAGCAGTCTAATATAAAAGCTTTTTTCATTCAATGGGCCTAATTTTAATTATCACCTTGTATTTAGGAATAGAGAGATGTCCAGTATAAACAAAGAAAATTGCCTTAAGCTATGAGAAGATAAAAGTTAACTAATTTTAAAACTCTTATAACTCTCTTACTCTTTCATCTTTTTGTTTGTTTTGTTGGATGTAGAAGAAGGAAGGAAATTGCATTGATAAGAGCGTACATTAACATTTCATCTTCAGGATGCTCTGATTCCAGCTTTTCACGCCCTTATTACTCTTTCATGGGAGTGATAGAGGAGAAGAAATTGAGTAATTATCTAGATTATCGTGGGAAGTCTATCATAATGGAAACTGAGAAGCCATTAAGCCAGTTCCTATTATCATCATCAAAGGCAGAGGCATTCTGCCTGAATGCCTCATCACAGTAATACAGCTCAATTTCCTTAGAAATAAAAATGACCTTTGTTTTTAATGTGTCTGCCCTCTGTTTTTTTTTTCTTCTAATGATAAGAATGACTTAAGCTATTTCTTAAGTATTTGGCTTTTGTTGAATCTTTTAAATGCTTTTAATTTGTCTTAAAGTAGCTAGTGCTGAATGTTAAAACAAAGATCAGTACGTGTATTGTTTCTCATCATTCTTTTGTGAGTACTAACTGCATTTTGAAATGGCTGCAGATTGTAAGGCAAGTTTTAAACTGTATTGGGGCTATTTATAATAAAGGGTACTCTGTAACAACATTTTTAGGAAAGGAAACATGCAAATAGTTGACTGGTAGAAATTAGTCAAGAGAAAAAAATTGTTCCCTTCTTTCCCAGCTGAAGTATTTTAAAAATTTTCACTCTTCTAAATGAATGAATGAAAGGAAAAAAAAGTCATTTTTAAGTCCTTGTTTTCTATGTGCAAAGCACCATAGGGACATAAGGTGGAAAAGCAAGATGGTGCCTGTTCTCAAGGTTCTGTCACTTACTTATGGGGGAAACAGCAGAGATGTTATGTTAAATCTTTGATTTGAATGATTTCTTCACTTAATGTTTCAATTTTATTGTTCTTGTAAAATATGTTTCTAATAATAGATGATCTCCAGGGCCCTTTATCTCTAACGTTCTATCTAGAGAGTGCTAGGATTACCACCGTCGAATTGTACACAAATAAGTAATTTAATTTTTCCCCCCTCAGATGTTTGCTATTTGTGTTTGGAGTGTGGATCCTTTATATCCTCAAATTAAGTAACAATGCTGAAGAATGTCACATAAAAAGAGTGCATTATGTGGATCCTGAGCGTGTAAAGGTTTGATATTTCTTAAATGTTTTGTTTTGTTTACATTTTTGAAACTTTGTTCCATGCATGTGAATTGATTTTCCTTAAGAAAATTCTAATGCTAGTGGTATCTGGCCTCTAAAATATTAAATGTTTATTAGAAAAGGTAAATGTTGAGTAAGAAAGTAGATTTTATTTCCTATTTTGCTCTAAAATTTCACTGACAACCCCCCCCCATTTATCCTTAACATATTCTATACTTCCCAGCCTTCCTAACCAGTACTTCTAGGTGCCATCAACGTATATAGCCAGTCTAGTTTAGGGAAACACTGTATCAGATCATAGAGTTGGTTCCTGTAGGTGGATGAGCTAAACATGTTTAAGGACTACTACATGAACAGTTAATCCCATCACCAAAAGGTTATAATGAATTTTTTCAAATATTCAGTAAATTCCTTCAGTTACTGGTCTAAAATAAACAAATGAACAACAACATCCCCCCGCCCCTTTTGATCCCTTCCACTCTTTCAAGCAATTAGCTCATCTCTGCCCTCCTTGGAAAAAATACTTTTGAAAAAGTGACCCTTGATCACAGGCTTGTTTTAAGGATCAAATGAGAAAATCATTGTAAGGTGCTTAGCATGGCGACTGGCACATAGCAGGTACTTAATAAACACTTATACCCTTCGGGCTCCCAACACCACCACCACCACCCCTGCAGCATTTAATTCTGTTGACCATTACTTTGTTGATTGTCTTTCTGCTTCTCCCAATCCTGTCTCATTTGTGTTTACTCTGCTTCTTCCTTACCCCTAAATATTGGTATTTTCTAATATTCTGTTCCTGGCCCTGTTCTCTTCTTTTTCTGTTTTCTCCCTTGGCCACCTCACTTTGTCTCATGGCTTTAACTCATCTTTATTTGTCTGACTCCCAAATCTACATGACTAGCTTCACCTTGACTTTCTCCCCAGTTCTGGACCTGCATTTGTAACTGCTGATACCCACCTGCACATCCTACATGCACCTGAAACTGAAGTCATCCCAAATTGAGCATACTGGCTTTCCCCCAACCCTGTTCCTCCCAGTTTTCCTGTGTCTGTCACACATGTTCAGATCCTCGGCATAGAGACACACAATGTGGTATAGTGGGAAAACTGGTGGCATTGGGGTCAGAAGACCCAAGTGTACAGTTGCTGTGTCTTTGACCTTAAGCTGCTTAATTTCTCTGAATTTTAACTTCTCCATCAATAAAAAGGGATGAATAGTAACACATACAATAAAACATAGTACATCACATATTTATGTAGTGATTTGGACAGGTGCATTCCCTACTTCCACTAGACCAGAAGTTCCATGAAGATGGAGATTGTATCTTATTTATCCCTAGTACCTAGCACAGTCTCTGCACAGACTTGGTCTTTAATAAGTGTTTGCTCAATGATATTTCATCTTTCAGGACAAATTTTAAATGACATTTTACACATTAAAGCCAATAATTTTTTCTATATTTTCATGGAGTTGTTGTGGGCCAGAATACCAGGGAAACTGAGAAGGTATGAGTTAATCCTTCCCACTCCTGCCTCCTCCAGTAGCACATAGCCATAAACTAGAGTTTGAGTTTGAGAAAAGGACATTGATGGAGAGCTATGTGATTTGGCAACCCCTATCCTCTCTACAAGACTCTTTGTTCTGCAGACTTAGAATTCTCATATGTTCCCTCTTTATGAAGGAATTTCTTTATCTTCTTTTCTTTACCTGAGATACAGTTTCCTGTATTTCCATAGGAATTATTAGCCCTTTACTAGTGCAGCCAGGATTTGTTTAAAAATTTTTTTTTAAATTTCTCGGCTTACTTATCATGTGGCACAGTAGTGTCAAACTCAAAAAGAAACAGATTCCCACAGGCCACATATTGACTTAGAAAACCACAGAATAACATTTTCTATGTGATACTGCACTTTTATTTATTTTGTTAAACAATTTCCAGTTACATTTTCATATGGGTTTATCCAATGATTTTTTTGTTTGTTTAGAGCCATTTTTTACAGGTATTTGGAAGGGTTTCCAATGATTTTTTTTTAAAAAATGTAATGTTATACTCATCTGAAAACCAAAAAAGTGGCTTCTTCATTGCATTAAAGGTTCCCCATCTTTAGGTTAAGAACAAATAAAATGATTTTTAGCATTCTTACAACACCTCAAACAAATGAGTGCAGGGGAAAGCCAGGTATCCTACTGTAGCCCCTTGTGCCAGAAGGAGAATTTAACATGAGAAATGGTACAGAGAAGGAAAGCGGTGTCAGACCCCTGTGTCTGATCTCATCAGGAGCATTTGACAGGAGAAGGGCCATGGAGGACGCTGAGAGAGAAGCAAGGCTTAAAGTTATCAGGATGCTGTAAGAATCTCTAAAGATTGAGCATTTCCAGTACAGGATGTTTTGGGATATTCCCAGGTTGCATCTTCTTAATAGAAGGGGACACATTGTTGCGATGATTGTGGTTTTCTGTGTCTGGGGTTCAAAGAGGTCCCTTATTAGGCTCATCTTAAAAATCAACACCTGTCTCTCAGGGAAGAAGCTCAAGCAGTTTGAAAGGGCAGCTCTAATATGAAAGTACATTTAAATGTTATGGGGGGGGCACATCAGTGTCAGTTTAAGTTTTTGGCCATGTGGTCAATGAGAGATTTGACCTTCTCTTCAGTAGCTAGGGCATTGGCCTGGGATTACATTTCATGCATAGCCAACTTATTTGTTACCAACATGGTAACATGGTGTGTGTGTGTGTGCACAGTTGCCTATGACCTCATACAGCTCTTCATACAGCTTTCATCTAAGATGGAGATTCTTTTTTTTTATTTTTATTTTTCAACATTCACTTCCATAAGATTTTGAGTTTTAAATTTTCTCCCCTTTCCTCTCCTCCCCCTCCCCAAGATGACATGCAATCTGATATAGACTCTACTTATACATTCATATTAATCATATTTTCACATTAGTCGTGATGTAAAGAAGAATTCGAACCAATGGGAGGAACCACGAGAATAAAGAAAAAAACAAAACAACAAAAAAAGAAAGCAAATAGTATGCTTCGATCTGCATTCAAACTCCATAATTCTTTCTTTGGATGTGGATAGCATTTTCCATCATGAGTCTTTTGGAGATGTCTTAGATCCTTACATTGCTAAGAAGAGATAAGTCTATCAAAGTTAGTCATCGCACAACGTGGCTGTTACTGTGTACAACGTTCTCCTGGTTCTGCTCACTTCACTCAGCATCAGTCCATTCAAGTCTTTCCAGGTTTTTCTGAAGTCTACCTGCTCATCATTTCTTATAGCACAATAGTATTCCATTACATTGATATACTACAACTTGTTCAGCCATTCCCCAATTGATGAGCATCCCTTAAATGTCCAATTCTTTGCCACCGCCGAAAAAGCTGCTCTAAATATTTTCGTACATATGGGTCCTTTTCCCATTTTTATGATCTCTTTGGGATACAGACCTAGAAGTGGTATTGCTGGGTCAAATGATATGCACAGTTTTATAGCTCTTTGGGCATAGTTCCAAATTGCTCTTTAGAATAGTTAGATCAATTCACAACTCCACCAGCAATGCATTAGTGTTCCAATTTTCCCACATCTTCTCCAACATTTATCATTTTCCTGTTTTGTCATGTTAGCCAATCTGATAGGTGTGATGTGGTACCTTTGTTTTGATTTGCATTTCTCTAATCAATAGTGATTTAGAACATTTTTTCGTGTGACTATAGATAGCTTTAATTTCTTCCTCTGAAAATTGCCTGTTTATGTCTTTTGACCATTTATCAATTGAGGAATGACTTATCCTGGGTTTTTTTTTGGGGGGGGCTAGGCATTGGGGTTAAGTGACTTGCCCAGAATCACATAGCTAGTATGTGTTATGTATCTGAGGTCTGATTTGAACTCAGGTCCTCCTGAGTCCGGGGCCGGTGCTCTCTCCACTGCGCCACTTAGCTGCACCTGACTTGTACTCTTTTTTTTATTATTATTTTATTAATTTATTTTGATTTGTCGACAGTCACTTCCATATGCTTTTGAGTTTAAAATTTTTCTCCCCCTTCCTCCCCACCACCCTCCCCAAGACGGTGTACAATCTGATATAGGCTATACATTTACATTCCTATTAAATATATTTTCACATTAGTGAAGTTGTAAGTAAAAATTAAAACCAATAGGAGGAACCGTCAGAAAGAGGAAACAAAACTCAACAGAAGAGAATAAAAAAAATGATAGCGATTCAACTTCCATAGTTCTTTCTTTGGATGTGGATAGCATTTTCCATCACGAGGCCTCTGGAGATGTCTTAGATCCTTGTAATGCTGAGAAGGGTTAAGTTTATCAATATTAGTCATCGCACAACGTGGCTGTTATTGTGTACAACGTTCTCTTGGTTCTGCTCACTTCACTCAGTGTCAGACCATGCAGCTGACTTGTACACTTACAAATTCGACTCAGTTCTCTATACATTTTAGAAATGAGACCTTTATCATTCTTTCCCAGCTTTCTGCTTCCCTTCTAATCTTGGTCACGTTGCTTTTGTTTGTGAAAAAAATTTTCAGTTTAATCAAAATAATCCATTTTGTATTGCATAATGTTCTCTGTCTCTTGTTTGGTCATAAATTCTTCCTTCTTCATGGATCTAACAGGTGAACTATTCCTTTCTCTCCTAGTTTACTTAGAGTATCAGTAAGGTGGAGATTCTTAACCTTGTTTGTGTCATGCACTCCTTCGATAATCTGGTGGAGCCTGCAGACCTCTTCTCAGAATTGCATTTTTAAATGCATAAAATAAAATGCAACATATTACTAAGGAAACCAATTTTAATTAAATAAAGATGTAATTTTTTTCCCATCCATGTTCACAGACTCCTTGAGGGTCTGTGGACCCCAGGTTAAAAACACCCAGCCCTAGGCAAAATTTCAAGTAGATGTTTGATTTTCAATATTTTCTTTCTGCATTCTTTTCCTCCATTGGTATAGTGAATGCCTCTTCT